CCGAACCCCTGCCCCACTGAGTCAATGCCTCAGTGGGTCGTCCCTTCCACCAGGTTGTCCCAGTGGAGGTAGGGAAGGTAGCTTCCGTTTGGATTCTTTCTTAAGGGGAGCTTCCCTCGCCGATGAGTGGTGAGAGGGGGATGGAGAAGATGGAGCGATGGTGCTCCTCTTCTCTTCTCCCTTCACCTCTTTCTTTTGTTCTCCCACTTCTCTCTTGTGAGGTTGTTTCACTTGAGAGGTTGAGGGAGGTTGGTCGCTTCGGATGGCAGGCTCCGTTTGATCAGATTTAGTGGCGGTGTAGTCCCGCCGGGGTTTGCTTGATTTAGTTTTCTTGCCCATGTAAATCCCACGAACAGCTAGGGAAATAAAAGTCGACCGACGCAGAGCCTTGCATGCGCCGGCAAGGCTGGATACAAGAGGATTTCGCCAGGTGCCCTCAGAGGAACGTTCGAAACCGCTTTCCCAGCGGCCATTCAGCCTTCAGCATGTTGCCTTACACCTTGGCTTGGGGTATTGATGGAGTGCCACTTAGTTAGTTAATAGTGCTGTTCATAGAGTAGCAATATTAACGTATCCAGCGGTGCACGAGGAGGCAGACACTCGATGATTGCATTTCTCCATTGGCATGCAGAAAGAGTTACCTACAAGCGGACAAGCAAACAAGCAAGCAATCTGAGCTACAAAGCAATGACTAAATTACAACCAACCCCGCCTACCATATACCATATACCATAAACTTATAGTTTCAATGATAAAATTCCTGAATACCCTATATGTATTGTAAAATAATAAAAATATTTTAAACAATATTAACTTCTCATTTATTCAATAAAAGAAAAAAAATTGTTTTCTTATCGGTTACCACGCTCAAAAAGTGTAACTTGAATTAATATCAGAGAAAAAAACTTGAATTAATATCAAAAAAAAAAACTCTGCATAAATAAAATAAATTGTGATGAAGTCACTAAATTTTATTTTTAATTCATCTTAAAAATGTATATTTCAATTAATTCCCGCCTGAGAACATGTAGAAGTTCCCCCGTATTTCTGTTTCCCAGGAATTACCGTTTTTCAACAATTGCGAGTACCCTTATATTTGCCGAAATCCGAATGGGCATTTTTAGAGTCGATTTCGTACCGATTATCTACCTTTATTTGTCAAGGTACAAGAAGGACATTTTTTATATTTCTAAATTGTAAACAGTCAGTTGTGGTGGTGGTATCCCCCCACTCGAGCCGACTGGTCTTCCATCTTGCTTTACCGAAAAAGCATAAATTAAATCCCATCTAGGAATTACTCTCTCTTCTCGCTTGCCAGCCGCCGTAAGCGTTTCTCTCGTGATTTCCGACAGCCGAACCTTACCCTTAGTTAGTACCTAGTGTCGTGAGTACCGTGATTTAGTTAATCGATCAACCCCGTTTATTTTTCTAAAGGTAGGAAACCGCTTATTTTTTTTATTTACAATTAGTTTGGGACACCCGTCCGACAAGAAAATAATTTTGATCTGTCAAAAGATTTATCTCATGACATTCTTGATTGCTTTAATATCTTACATAAATGCAATTTAAAATGGTTTCACGAAGTGTGTATTCCATAGAATACTTGATTGTCATCATTAAATTCTAGGATATCTACTGTTTCATGTTTAGTAGCTGCAGTTTTATTTTATAGATACCTACATTAATTTTATAAAAATTCAAAAATGGACCAACATATCTTTGTAACGAATCTGTTAATAGGGCCAAGTCTTTTCACCTCTGAGTAAAGTTTAAAGTAACTACTTGCTGATTAAACTATAGGAATATTGTTTGTTAATCTGTCAAGTAAACATACATGTAACTTTACTCAGAGGTTAAAAGATCGACCCTTAACAGGTATTTTAAAGTTTATATTTAAGAGCCCTTTGAAAGAATATATAATTTTTTTTATAAAGTAAACATATTGTTAATTCAGCACTTAATTCATATTAAAATTTACTATACGAATAATCACCAAACAATAAATAATAATAACCCTGCATAAATATTTTTGTAAGTTCTTTTTTAGATAAATAATATGCTCCATGTCCGTTGTTATATCGTTTTAGAATTACTTTTTTTTACTACTAACATGAGAAATCACCATTATTTACTCCATTCCTCTAATGAGAAGTAATATTTCTCTCCCTAGGTAAATAATGATAATAAAAAAAATCTGATGTGTCCAACACATGACTTTCCTATCTAGTTATTACAGGCTTTTTCCGTTTATTGTGTACAACCTATTGCAGCATCTCTATAAATGTTAAGAGGATAAACTAAATATATACATTGTCCACATACATCTACCGCGAAACATTTTTCTATAAATATTCATTGAAAATGAAAATACTGAAAAATTTAAATTTAGCACTTTTCCTACAATTTTTCCATTACGGTCCATTTAAAAAAAATCATGTATGAACAAATATTATAGAGATCGATATCGCAAACAACTTTTATTTCAACAATTTTCATAAAAATTAGAATTTTGCACATTTTGTCAAATTTCTCGAATACGGACCATTTCAGGAAATTTTTACATAAGGCAAAAATTATAGATAATAATATTAGAAGTAACAATTTTCTTCTCCAAACATAAATAACAGATATATTCAATAAAATATAAAAACGGCCTCCCATAAAGTACCCCCCCAGATGTTCCGACTTTGTCCAAAATCTAATCATTTCACGTCAGGCCGAAATAAAACTTAAGTTTAAAATTTATTGATTTTTTCTTTATCCGTTTTTGAGTTTTCTTCAAATTTCGAAATTTACACATTTTCTCAAATATCTCGAATACGGTCCATTTTAGAGAAATTATCTATGGGACAAAAATTATAGAGAATTATATTACAAACAACTTTTGTTTGAACAATTTTTATAAAAAAAAATATTTTTTTACATTTTGTCAAATTTCTCGAATACGGACCATTTTAGGAAAATTTTGTAAATAACAAAAATTATAGATAATAAAATAAGAAGTAACTTTTATTTAAAAAATTTTCTTCCCCAAACGTAAATAACAGATATATTCCATAAAATATAAAAATGACCACCTATAAAGTACCCCCCCAGATGTTCCGACTCTGCCCAAAATCTAATCAGCTCATTAGACGCTGGAATAGAGCTTAAGTTTAAAATTTGGTGTTTTTCCGTGTATCGGTTCATGAGTTATGCGTTATACAGACACACACACACACACACACACACACACACACACACACACACACACACACACACAGAGAGACATCATCGCGAAAATAGTCAAAACGGATTCAGGGGACCTCAAAACGTAAAAATCCGTCGAAAACTCGAGGTCGAAAAAAATCATGATTCCTATACTTTCCTTATATCTGTATACAGATAGGAAAGTAAAAAACCTAGGTAAATAATGAAACTAAATTTCATTAGTTTCATTTTGTTAATTTGACAACTAAACTCCCAGACTACTTGATATTTTGAAATATTTGAAAAATAAGTAGGAAATAACTAAAGCTGGGTTTATCAAATCTAATCAAATCAAATATGATAATATATATCAGTGTAAACAGTAAAAATATATATTAACTAGGAAATTCAACACCGGCTTTAAAAATTATTAATTAATAACAATAAATCCATGTCATTAAAATATCAAAAATGCAATGGGATATTTCCTAGAATCATACCAAAATTTGACACATGCCAAATTTTTACATAAATAAAGCAGTCTGATTAGAAACACGCTCCAGTCTGCTTGATATTTCGAAATATTTAACAAATTGTTAGGAAATTACTTATGTCAAAATTAAAATTGCTAATACATTAATGTTAGTAGTAAAAAAAATTCTATATATACCTCGGCTGAGAAAGCTATTATTTACCTCGCACATTATATCCCTCGGCGCTACGCGCCTCAGGATATAAAAGTGCTCGGTAAATAATAGCTCACTTCTCACCCTAGGTATATAATGTACTATTGCTAAGCATATGACAAACGGCTTGCGTGAGAAAATGGTGGAAATTTCTAGTTTTTTGTCAGCTTTTTGTTAAATAAATTATAAAGATATAAATAATATGATGGCCATGTCCTACACTCTAGCCTTTTGTTATATAGTCTTAGAATCACTTTTTCTAAGCATATGTCAAACGGCTTGTGTGGGAAAAGAAAATTGTGGCAATTTGCATACATTTTTCTAGCAACTTTCCTATGTTCTGAAAATATGAAGACGACGCTCTGCACTCAAGCCATTATTTTTTTGTGTGCTCTTAAATTCATAAGTTTTTATTGCAAAAAATTTCGTTGATGGGAAAATAACTGAAAAATCGAAAAAAAAAATTCTGTTAAATTTTCCAACCTCAAAATGGACTTATCCACTCGCGCCACTCAAGCCAATATGTTTTTCGGGATAGTTACGATGTATGTTTTCATATTCTCGATTCTATTCAAAATCGATGTACTTTTAAACCCTCTTCGAGGCTTGTATGCGAAAATGGGGCACCTAAATCAGTCACTATCTGACGGTCTATAATTTATTCTCAACGATTTGTGTGTTTATATTGCTTGTTGTTATTTAGTTTTCAAGAAAGTGGGTGATTTTGTCGTGTATTGTGTTTTTATTATTTTGTGCTGATTGAGAATGGAAAATAAGGACCAAAACAAAATAATTATTAAGTTGTAAGTTTAACTAAATTTTATTTTTATAAGTCAAATTGCCCTTCTTTAGTTTAGTATAAACTTTCAATAATTATATATTGATTTTAAAACCAAAGATGGTTTACTTTTTGTTTTTTTTTTTTTTTTTCGTAACTGGTGATATAATGAATGTTTTGTAACCAGTTTTATAATGTTCAAAATTATGCAACTAGTTGCGTAAAGTAGATCTTTTTGACACTTACTGCGATTACAAAAAAAGGTACTTTATATGTCAAAATTAGAACAAAATGTTTCCATAAAATTATCTTGAAAATATAAAAAACATAAAAAGATTTATTTTTAGGTCTATTTATATCGATGCCTTTCTTATTTATAACATTCTTAGTTTATGCAATATTGCCTGAAAGGAACTTACATCGACGAGGTTTAATGTGTTATGTTATTTGTGCTCTTGCAGCGAATATTACTTTGTTAATAATACAATCTTACCCATACAAGTTTCCAGAGGTTTCCTGTCACCTTATAGGTAATTATTATTTTTCAATATAAGTTACGTCAGATTTGATGTGCACTAATAATTGTATAATTTTAAAAAAGACCAAAATTTACGTTGCAATATATAACAACAAAACCATCGAATTTTGTATTATACTTACATAAAATAATATATCAATTTCTTAAATAATAGAGAGATATTGCAAATTTCTATAACGTCAGCCACTAATAGTGACAACGTAATTAGACGCAAATAAATTCCATGCTAAAATAAGACTTATTGAAAACCAGATATTTTGACACTAGGGCCCTTGTCCTTATACATATTTCTAACCACATTTTACAAATTTTAAATTACAGTCCATCTTTTTTGTTGTGTATAATAGTACATAATATGAAAGAGGCATTAGAAATTGCCATTTTAGAAAGTTTAGATGACGATGATATTAATTATTTGATAATAGAGAGATATTGTAAATTTCTATAACGCTAGCTACTAATAGTGACATCGTAATTAAAGTCAAATAAATTCCATTCTAAAATCAGACTTATTGCAAACCTGAAATTTGACATTAAAATCCTTGTCCTTATGCTTATCTCTAACCTCATTTTAATAACTTTAAATTATAGTTCATCTTTTTTGTTGTCTATAATAGTACATAATATTGAAGAGGCATTAGAAATTATAATTTAAGAAGGTTTAGATGACGATTATATTAAATGTTTAATATTAAAAAACTTCGAACAGATACGAATGTCGACGAGTGCACCCGAAAGCTATAAAGTCGCCACTACCTGCTGCCCTTAAACATCCACAATTAAGGACAGGCACAATCTTTAATAAAGCCAGTTTTAGAACATAAACGATCTGGCAATTAGGTGTCAAAATAAGAGAGGCACTAATAGTGACTGACTTTAAGTGAACTTGCAATAACTCTCTATTATAAGAGGGACCTATCTTTAAAACATTATTAAAACACCCGTACGCACTTATAAATAGTTCAAAAAATTTTAAACTGTTGATCTATTCTTTCTGCATTGTTTTAAGAAGTCTTCAACTTTGGATTATCTCTCGTGTCTTGTCTGGAGTAGTAAAAACAATTCTTGCACAGATTAGACTAAAAACTGAAGTGAAAAGGGGGATACTTGTTTCATGAAAAAAAAAACTATCTGGTTAAGATTTTCCTTTAAGCTGTTCTATACATACGCAGTTCTATGTGTATAATGCATCTTGTTTTGTAAAGGGTAAAAAAAGTGAAGGTTACCTAGGCAATTACCACTAATAAAATTCTGCTCATTTTCGACAAAAGAAGTTAGCTGTTAGATGTTTTTTTTTGCGCAAATATCTTTGGAAGTAGTTAACTTTGTAACAATCAACTAGCCTATAGCCTATAACAACAACTGATATGTCTTTAACTACTGTTGTCAACATACTGATAAGGGATGAAGGCAGCACTGTCACTAGCCAAAGGGTCCTGGAGTCCAGAAGAAACATTCGTTCACCAGTGGCAAATAAAAATAATAAAATAGAAATAGAAAAAAAAATTACCCTTTAATAGTTAAGCGGCTTTGGCAACTAGTTATAGACTCTTCTAGTCCATTTAGGGGTGGTAACGCCGAGGCTTCTCAAATGCTCAGAATATTTCATAACTGGTTTTGGAGAGGGGGGAAAGAATAATAATGTTGTGAGAACGCCTAAGCCAACCCTGTTCCGCTCAGCCGTTGCAAGTCGCTTCGTCTATGTTTTGATTCGCAGGACAGAGACAAACGCATTGCTTCGAAAAGCTAACAGAAAAACGGTACGTGACCATTGAATCAGAGAGAGAAATCTCGGACATTCGAGATCGCCGAGAAACTACTGGTATAGAGCTGGCTTTGTATAAATAGCGCAAGTTGTCGACGGACGGCAAATTGAATTTAAGTGTTGGACAGTAAAAACAAATTATAATAAATAAATTAGAATTGTGAGTTATAATAGTGTCTAAGTATTATATAAATTAATTACTACGTTATAAATAAATTGTAAATAGTGTTTTAAATAAATAAACTATAAATAAATTAAACAAACGTTACAATAATAAGTATTGAAACAGTAACAAATGTATATTTAAAATAAGTGCAAAATGACTAATAGTTTATTTATTTAGGGAATAAAACACTATTTGATAATATATCTAAACCCTTAATAAAGACCTACGATTTATGACAAATAGATAAACTTCCTATTGAATTATATAGTTTGGACTTATTAAAAACTAAAATAGCATTGGAAAATATAACTATGTAATGATAAATAAGATAATTATAATAGATACTAGGGACTCGGGACGAAAATGGAAAAACTGGCATTTCTATTTAAATTATAAATCAAATATTTATCTTAAAACAAATCCCAGCAACACTTTTAAAATAAGTTAAAGATATTTATCTACAGTACACAAATCGCTACACAAAACTTTACTTTACCCATTACATTATTTCGAGAGTTAGGGTCCCGAAACGAAAGTCTTTTGCCTTTCGGCAAGAGTTTCGGATAACAGGCCTTGCTCGAGTCTTTTCTTCAAGACTAGTCTCTCTATTTAAAACCAAAATGTACGTGAGATAGTTTTATTTTTTAGAATATCAACGTACTACCTTTGATAATTCTCTAGTTCTAGCCATTGACTAGAGTAAAAACCTAATGGTTTAAAAATAAATTTTTGAATTTTTGTTAAATTCTTTATATTTTATATTCCCGTTAAGGAAATTACTATAACTACTAAAGTGAGGGGGTGCAAAAAGTTTTATTGGTAGTGCATATGAGTGCATTAGGAGTGCATACTGTTGCAATATTTTTTTTGCGAAAACTTTATTGGGGGAACTAGCTTCACTGACCTCCAAATACTATTATTAGTTTAGATTTCAGAACAACTATAAGATCAATAAATTCTTAATAAAAATAAATTATAAATATGAAAAAAACATTGTGTCCATTTCTTAACTTTTAACGGAAGATCCAATTGTGTTACAATATACTTTATTTTAATTTCAGGTTATCTAATTATATTTTTCTTCCTGGCATCATTTTTCTGGTTAAATGTAATGTGTTTTGACATGTGGTTAACTTTTAGGTAAGTTTACAAAGTAATTTAACAATAATTATTAATATGAGAACCGTTTTTTCCTACTGCTAAAAATATACAGAACGTTACCAAACCTGTGGCCAATATTTTACAGACGTGTTGAGGAGGTCGAGAGGAAACAAAATATAAATACATTCTTTTTCAAAAGTCCAAAATAACAAAAATGTATAGGTGTTCTATTCTTAGATGAATAATTCATGATTACAGAAACATGAGATAATGTTCAAGAACATAACATAAAATGAATATCCTATTAGGCATTCCAGCGACTTGTCAAAAAATAGCTGCCATCTAGGGGGGTCGCGACATATCCTTTCATCTTGGACACTATTTTAATTTGAAATAATAGTCGCCAAGTCTGCCAATATATGAAAAATATATAAGCGGTTTTTTTTTAAAGTATTTTAATTGTGTTCGTCATAAAATATTTAAATTTTATCCATTATTAATGATTTCACGTATTGTAGATAGAATACATCGTATGCCGCAACACCTTAGATATACCAACACTTCCCACCGACAGTTATTTTATTTGAAATGCCTAATTAGGCATTCCAACGTCCTGTCAAAAAAGCTGATGTCTTTGACCATGGAGATAGAATGAACTAGAGATGACATAAACATTATTTTGAGATATGACACGTGGACACACTTTGAGTGATCTTTTTTTATCTTTATTTTTGTCTGTTGTAAGCAGGTAGAGTTAGGTTTGGCCCAGATCCCTGAGGCCTCTTGGGTCTATTGTATTCCCCTGCTTTCCCCGTATTCAGGTACTATCTTTGGAATATTCCTGTGGCTTTGGTTAGTTTGAATAAGTTCCCTACCAAGTGTTCCTGGTGCGTTCTTTCCGGTTCTACGCCGAAAAGGATGAAATGTCGCCTAGTAAGAGCTTCGCATTCGAAGATCACATGGTATGAGGTTTCTTTCTCTTCCATGAGTCTACACGTAGTGGGATTCTTTGTGTTATCCCATCACATGAAGGTATTTCAGCAAGCTGTGCCCCGTTAGTAATCCCACAATGGTGGATATCTGAGGCCTTGCGAGTTGTAGTGCTTCAGTAGCCATGCGTGGGTTTGGTCCCCTTAGCATGAGATTACTGATTCTGTTAAATTCGACATTTTAATTTCGAAGGTCTCGAAAGAACAAGTTTGTTAAAGTACAATTCAGTTTACTCTTAATACTTAATAACTGTTGTCATGTAAATTGTTAGCAAAAATGAACTACAACAGTGAAGAGTTTAATGATTTTCTCATGGATCTCATCATCAGAGCTTCACCAAATTTATATGGAACGACTCCTGAGGTTCTGTATCTGTAAGATGAGATTACTCCCATTCTAAAAAAAAAAAATAGAAATACGTCAACGTAGTAGAGAGTTATCACTGACCCTACATAAAGAAAATATTCCGATGAAATAAGACACTCCTCCTTTTTTTGAAGTCTGTTATTACATAAATAAAATAAACGTAGAACCAAACAAGATGAAATTTTTAATATTTGGAAATTATGAAAATGAAAAATCCGCAATTTCCCCTACTAAATTATTTATTACACTCTCACCTTTTTCAATGTTTTGTTTGGTTTGTTTTCACTTTCGGAGTATGAAAGAGTAATTTTCAAAATTACTTAGGGAGGAATTGGAGATTATTCATTTTCGAATCAACATCATCTTGATTATACAGGGTGTTTCTAAATAAGTGCAAAAAACTAGAAGTGGGGGCCTTTTAAACGTAGAGGTGAAAATATTGAAGCCGTTCGGCATGTTTTGATGTAAATCCCAAAAACATAGATTTCAATCCAACAAACAAATTTGTTTTTCGCATGCTAAAAAATATTTACACTGTCTTGCATAAAAGCTAAAATGTTTTCATGAGCCTTTTTTTCAGTAGATTTTCCAAGACAAGAAGAATTTGGATGGTTCCAAAATAATTAAACAATGAAAATATCCTTACTTTTTCTCAGATGAGGTTTGTGTTGGAATATGTCGAAGATTAGTTGTTCCATTTTTTACCGTATGGGAAGATATATTTACAAAATATGCATTTATGAAAATCACTTTATCGCCCTGAAGAATGTAAACTGGGATGTCTCTTAGTTTACGGTACTTTCTTGTGAAACACCCTGTACAACATATAACACCAGATTACTTTAAAATGATTTTTTTCTGAATTTATTAATTTTTAATTTTTGTATAAAATAATTAATACCGATAATACCATTAGAATACTTTTTCAGTTCGTCAATTGGATTTTTAAGTAAGAAAACAGAAGAAAGAAAAAAATTTATAATTTATAGCGTTTATGCATGGGGAACGCCACTCTGCTTTGTGTTAATAGTATTAATAATAAATACATATGCTAAGCAAACAGCCCATTATCATCCACAAATTGGAATTTTATGTTTTTTAAAAGGTAAAAAATAATATAATAATATAGGCAATGCGAGAAATGTTTGTGGTTACATGCATGATTCTTAATATGCAATCGGATTTAAATTGCTACGACTGACAAGAAAAATAATAATATAAAGCAACATAATCTTTAGGAAAATCAAATTTGGCAATAAATAATTTAGATTAGGGAATGCATTTAAATTATAATAATAGCTTTCAAATGAGGTGTTAAATTTTGGACCAAGTAACATTTTTTCCCTTAAGACCAGGGTAGGTGTCAAAGAATTAATCTTAATAGTTCTAAAGTCTCCCTAAAGTTGCCAATTCTATACTGCCCTGCTAAGCGGAAACGTCCTAACTGACATGAGGGAAGTTTTGAGATATTAACAATTTTCTGTTTTCATATATATAAAAATTAGGACAAAACTGACTGTATGAAACAAGTGCTTTACGTTATAGTTAAGACGTTTTTGAGTAGGAAAACAGTTATAGAAGCATGTCTGCATCACAAATATGCCTTCAACTCAAAAACTGAAATTTTGTCAGATAGGGCAGGGCAGTATATGTGTAACGCGTGGTATATTGTAAATTTCAATTTTTATGTTGGAACGTGTTTCGGGAATTTTGCATATTAATTATTTGCAAGCTATTGAGGGTGGGTTGTTTGTAAATAAACGTTACATTCTAAATTGTTAATAACCAATTTTTTTTTCATATAAATTAATATGTTCTATTTTTACAGAAGGATGGCCAAAGTTTTATTATTTTTATTTGCCATTAACCATTCTTGTCAGTCTTAATATTATTTTGTTCATTGCAACATCAATAAAAATATTCAAAATAAAAAGAGCAACTAAAATGTTAAAGAGGACAGACAGTAAAATACACACTTATGAAGAAGAACAAAAGTAAGTACGCTGATAAATTTATGATAGATTTTTCACTGATATAAAAAATTTAATAAACCTTTAAAATTACATAAAGTTAAGTATACACAGATTGTAACAAAAAGATGTAAAGTAAATTTAACTACAGTTTCTGTTATCAAAAATAAGTCCATTTAGGCTAACTTACTTATATAAAAAATGGATAATAAAAAATTTACAGGGTGTTAAAGTAGAAATTTTAGAAGTGATTTTTGGCTCTTCCTCTCTGTATCTGTAACGTGGCCCATTGTACATCTTTCTAAGTAGATAGGTACCTCCTAGCTCGTGAGCAAGCATACAAATTTAATGTGGTTGGGAACGTCGCCAAGAGGTGCTTGTTCGGCCGATATTAGCCAATTCTCGCGGCACATAAATATTCTACTAAATGAGAGTGTCGAGCAATCGTAGAGAATATGCTCGATGGCTTTATTTTCTTGTTCGCACTCCCTGTAGAGTGCGGATTCTGATAGCCACATAATAATGAGATGCTTCCGTACTTGGCAATGACCAGTCAGAATGCCTGTGATCAGGCGCAGATTATGTCTAGTCATAGCCAAGTATTTGTTTGCTGTAGTGTTGTCAGGATAACTTAAATGCTCCCATCTCTCCTTAAATTTCACAAAGATATGTTTTTTAAATAAGTTTGTCACTACCGATGTTATCAGTCCAAAAAGTATTTGATTGACTGCCTTTTTGGCTAGTGACTCAGCTAGTCGGTCACCTTTCGATTTGGCATGGCCTTTGATCCTTCTTAAAGTGACCATAATATTGATGGATACTTCGGCCTAAGCTTCGTGACATTCTAGTACTAACCCTTGGTCTGTCCATGGCGAGTAGTGCTTGTCCGCTATTTGTATAGATGAGCATGTTCCTTCCAGTGATATTGTTTCTGGTGATTTCTTTTGCTGCTATGAAAATCCCCGTGAGCTCGGTTTGAACTACACAGGCACTATTGCTCGCAGCCCATTTTATGTTTAGGTTTAAGGTTCTGGCGAGTATAATCCACATCCTGAGCCTTGTTTTGTTTTAGAACCGTCGGTGTAGATATAAATCGTACCTGCCACTTCCGGCTCATCTATCTGTTTTTTTATCTTCTTCTTCTATACATATATTGTTATGGAAACACCCTGTATGTGAATTCCAACAAAAATAAAAATAATCTCAAATGGGGTAAGTTCAAAATCTAGAAAATAATTTACAATAAGAATTTGATACCAATAAAATAAGCAATTTATTTTAAATCGGCTTATTTTCGATCACATAAATTGTGATTAAATTTACTGTACTGTTTTTATTATACCCTGTATAATGATATAGGTAATATGGAGTTTACTTGGAATCTTGGAATTAATGAACCAATTATATAGGTCATTTCTCCGATTATGGCGTGAACGTCACAATGGCGGCTCCCGTCCAAATTTTCGGAGGTAACTATCATTACCATTGGACCTAGTTGGGACTATTAATGGTTCAACACTCAAATTGAACGTGTTAAATCATGAATTATATGGTAGTGGGTACTTGTTAAAATTGGCGGGAAAAGATTGGTCAAAACAATTTATAAAACTAATCATCTTCAGGGGGTGGGTGGCTCAGTGGTAGAGTCTCTACCTGCTTATCCAAGTGTCCCAGGTTTGAATCCCACCGTTGGCCGGGATTTTTTATTTAATTTAATTATTTTAAATTAATTATGATGCCTTGGTAGGATTTCCCACTCCACCATTCACTGTTTGGTTCTAATTTGCAGTGCTGTTCCTAAAGTGGCGCTGGGAAACAGTAATAAAGCCTGCACAGAACACGAGGCTAATAACCTTAGTAGTTGATGCCGATGACACCAAATTAAAAGAAAAATCGTCTTCGGTACCTTCTCCTAGAAATACCAGTTTAGCTAGAACAATGAGGTTCATCAACCTACAGCAGCTGTCAAAATATTATCAAAATTTGAAAAATGTAATTGACAAATATAGATTCCCTGCCAACAGAATCTACAACATGGGCCAAAGTGGTTTTCAGACATGTAGCTCCCTTTGGAAAAGATAAGTAGCTAAAAATGTGGCTACTGAGCCGGAAAAAACTGTGATAACGGCATCTTCTATGAGTGCTACAGGACTCTATGTATCCACCCGCAAAAGATTAAATCCTTTACTCATAAAGGATACACCAACTGGTTCTGCTTTAACTCTGTGGCTACATGAATTCACCGGAAATCTCGATTATATGGTGCACTTCCAATCTACGAATCCTACAACTGATACTCATGTTCTTCTAATATTGGATAATAACGAACAATATCCATTTACTTAGACTTTTACCATTTAGGTAGAAGTGTCGGTCTTAAAAAATATAGTACGTCACGCGACCGAAAATTAGTGTTATGCAGGTCTCTACAGGCTTCCAGGTCTCACCTACCGCTCGCCCTGGAGTCTGCTTGTCTTGACTTGCAAAACACTACTTTCTGGTCTTGTAACGTAAATTAGTTACAAACACTGATCTGTATACTACAGATCAGTGGTTACAAACTACTGCTGTTAGACGATAATGGCTATGTTGTCAAATATTAGCGTCAGATAAAATATTTGATTTTTACAGTGGGGTAGGTAATGTTTTTGTTTACTTCCGCAAATCATTATGGTAATGCAGGGCTTTAATAACGGTTGGCGATAAAAGTTTTTACCGGTTCCTAACGTCTTTTTTCCTGTCTTGATCGGCAAAACATTGAAACATTGTTTAGGTGTATATTTTCTGGTCGGTCTTAAAAAAAAGCCGTTAACGGATTTAAGATGACTGACATATAGCCTCTAGATGAAAATGTTTTTACCAAAGAATATTTTCTACCTGCGTCTATAACAAAAGCATGGAAGACAAATAGAAGATAGAGAAGATGTTAATGATAAAGACATGCATAGAGAAATTATGTATGAAGAAGAAATACAACGTCAGAGCGATAACAAAGCAGAACATTTTGACAATGCTAAGAAATTCCTAGATGAAAATAATGTTTTAATTTCTACGGAATCTCCAAAAACCGAGTGTTTGCAAAAAAGATGAATCCTAAAAATCTGGATGTTCAAAAGAAACCCCTGAACATATTTCTGTAACATTACCGTTCAGATAACGGAAAATTGAAAATAAGAAAAAGAAGTAAACCATTGGGAGGAATAAAACAACGCTGAGAAATGTTTTTGGGAAAGAAAAAAAAAGCAATCAAAATCAATCAGATTTTTAAATGTCCCTTCATGGTATTCGGAATGAAATAGTTACTCATCTGGGCTAAGTGCATGGAAGTTTGCTGCAGTAAACGTTTATGGGAAAACAGAAGGCTCATTCCGACTTTTGGATAACTGCAACGGAAGATGATGGTTGGCATGGCATTTTTTTTAGGGTATCTAACAATGCGTTTTTCAGCGACCGAGAAAGAGTTTAATGTCAATAAAACTGACATTCTTAGAAAACTTTCCAAACCACTGCAAAAGATGGTTCTGCAAGATTCAGAAACGTTGCTAGTTTTTCTACAGATTTAGTTTAATTTTTTATTATTATTTTTAGTTTCCCAAAGAACTTTTAGTTTTTACGAATTTGAGCGATTTTTGAATATTGCCAAATATATCTTAAAGTTTTTTTACTAAAATACGTCTGTTTATTTATGCAGGGTGTTTGGTAAACATGCGGAAAAAATACAAGGGGTTATTCCTTGGACTATTCTAAGAATATTTTGCTATTCGATGATTTGTGAAAACCCGCTTTGTTTCGAAGATAGAAGGTGTGTTTGAAAGAGTTCGGCAGTCAATGATTTATTTATTTATTTATAAATAAAACTCAAACAGGCCTTACGGCCTTTTTACATGAGTAGTACAATACATAATATACATAATAATATATAATATAATCATACATATGACATTATGACACTTTACATTTTTACTTGTATGAATGGGTTTGAATATCAAGACTACAAAGCTTCACAATAATCAGCGGAAACAGCATACATATTTAAATACTTAAAACATTAAGGTACTCATTAAGATTTCTTTGATACTGTTTGTAACTCACATGCCAGTCAAAGTTACACAAAGAATTAAAATTATTTGCGAGTCGAAGTACAAATGAAAGAGGAGATTTTAGGGTACTATTGGATATAATATTGAATATAAAGGGAGACCTAGTGCGCCTAGGAGGAACATTAAATGGTATGAGTAGCAGTAATTCATTTGAGTTTACTTGGTTATTTAAAATTTTGTATAAAAATGTCATCATAAACTGTTTCCGTCTATTAATCAGTGAGGATATTCCAAATTCTTGTCATAACATAGATGTTCGTACGTAATTGTAGTCTGGCCAATGACGATGTTTTTTGTAGTAAAGATACCTAAGAAATTTGTTTTGAATTTTTTCCAATTTATCTAAGTAAATTTGAGGTTGTTGACCCCAAATAATCGAGGCATATTCTAATTTTGTCCTAACTAGTGAGTAGTAAAGATATTTTATCTACAACCACCCCAGTAAATCGCCTATTATGTACCGTTTTGTTTATAAGTAAATACATCATTACAGATACTGTTACGTAATGAAATTCAAAACTATTACGTAATATATATATATATATATATATATATATATATATATATATATATATATATATTACATAACAGTTTCATTTATCAAACTACCCATATTAGTCCGTTGCTAGGTGATCGCCATGGTTACGATTAATAAGTTTTGACATTTCAGAAATATAAAATCGCCATTTTTGTAGTTACAGCATTATTTTTTTAAATGAATATGATTTCGTCAGATAGCGAAAATGAATTTCAAGAAACTCCACCTGAAATTCTTGAAAAAGCTGCCAATACCACTGAAAAATTACTGCCAACAAAATCAAGAACAAGGTATGAAATAGTATACCAAAAGTTTATGGACTGGCGTATAAAAAACAAGATTAATTCATTTTCTGAAAATGTGCGTTTGGCATATTTTGGGGACCTAATGGAACAATTTAAACCTTCATCAATATGGGCAATATATTCCATGTTAAGGACCGTCATTTCCATAAAAAACAACGTGAATATTGAAACATACCCAAAATTAAAGGCATTCCTAAAAAGGAAATCGGAAGGTTTTAAAAGCAAAAAATCAAAAAAATTTTCTTCTGATGAAATAAGTAAATGTTTAAATGAAGCTCCTGATTCACAATACTTATTAACAAAGGTTTGTATCTAAAGCAATTTTCCTTCAGTTAATTTAGTATTGGCTAGTGATTTTACTTTTCAATATTTTATTTAAGTTGATTCTAATTATTGGAGTTTGTGGCGCATGTAGGAAACAAGAATTAAAAAATTTACCAATCAAGGATATAAGAGATGTTGGTGACATACTGATTATTGAAATACCTGATTCAAAAACTAAGATAAGCAGGTCTTTTGTGATTAACGGAACCTTTTATCAAATATGCAAACAATATATGCAACATCGCCAGCAAGTGCAAAATCTTGATACAAATCAATTTTTCATAAACTATCAAAAAGGAAAATGCACCAAACAAGTGGTCGGTATATATAAAATTGGAAATGTACCCAAACAAATAGCACAATATTTAAACTTGCCCAATCCCAATTTATACACCGGCCATTGTTTAAGAAGAACTTCTGCCACAATTTTAATTGATGCAGGTGGTGATTTATTCGCATTAAAAAGGCATGGAGGCTGGAAATCCTCAACGACTGCTGAAGAATATGTTGATAATTCATTAAATAATAAAATTTTAACGGCTCATAAAATTATGCAGTCAATTGAAAAAACAGATTTTCCACCTAGCACATCAGAAATAAATGAGAATATTTCTACTTCAAACCATAAATAACAGCAATCAAATAGAGTCTAATTCCTCTGCACCATCTACATCATCTCTTTCAGTGCCATCTACTTCTTATAAAATACCTCAAAATACTAACGAATCCATAATTATTCAAAATTGCCAAAAATTTACCATTAATTATTATTCTAAGAATCAATGATATGTTAATGAATTATTGTATTTAATAAATGTTATAGATTATGAAAGCTTTTTTATTATGAATGTATGAATGTGGTTGTAGATAAAATATAGTACATAACTCGAGTTGTAAGAGCAATTACATGCTCGTAGAATTACTACACTCGCCGCTAACGCGGCTCGTGTGCAACTTTTCTACTCGCATGTAATTAGCTTCTTACTACTCTTGTTATGTAATATACTATTATAGTATTTAGATTAGAAAAAGCTTGAGTTTGTCTAATAATGAACCCTAATATACGGTTAGCACTAAGAGCAATTTTATTTATATGCGAACCAAACGAAAATTGATTGTCGTAGCTTACACCGAGGTCTTTAATTTCGGATCGTCTAGTTAAAATTTGTTGGTCCATCTTATATTCAAATACTTATAATAACATTGTCTCTCTTACGGTCAATTGTAAGTATAAAGCATTTCTTAATGTTAAATTTTAACTTATTATTTTCACTCCACGTATAAATGGCATTGATATATTTTTGTAAAGATTGATGAGAAGATTGAATACTTATCTCCAAGCTGGAGGAAGTTATTTTGCACATTTATTGTAGATTACACAACTGTACATGTACTTTTTGCTAATAAAATGTTGTTACTCTCGAAATTTTGTTCATTCTGTATCTTTGAAACAAAGCGGGTTTTCACAAATCATGAAATAACAAAATATTCTTATTCTTAGTCCGAGGAATAACCCCTTGTATATTTGCCGCATGTTTACCAAACAGTATAATTTGCTTATTTTTAATATCCGACCAAACTAACAATATAATAAGAATATTTTTAGGTACAAATTATATGTGAAATTAATATTCGCAATGGGTGTAAACTGGATTATGGAAATAATATCCTGGGCTGTAGTATGGAAGACTGAGCAAACGTACGCAGCAATATTTTACATAACAGACTTTACAAATGCCATGTATGGTTTTCTCATATTTTTAATATTCGTTTTTAAGAAGAAAATATGGCGTGGTTTACAGAAAAGGTAAGAAATTTTTATCTACCAAAATAACGCTTTTATTATATTTTTTTCATAAATTTTCCGGACTAAACAAAGATTATATTTCTAAGAATTAAATCAAATATTAGATAATCCATAGTGCCCTTTTATTTATAAATTGTATTTGTTTTTTATAGATATTACGAAATAATTGGAAAAACAGATATTTCTCCATTAACTTCAGATAGAACCCGGACGAGTAAATATTCTACAAATGCAATTATTAGTGCTGTAAATTACGACCAGACTGTTAATTCTTCTCCTAGAGCATCAGAAGAAATACGTCTTCATAGGAAGTAATAAAGTACTCGTATAGATCAGAATAAATTTTAACAGTTTTTAGATAGTGGTATATATCTATGTTTTTATAATTTGATCTAAGTTTAATGCTCAGAGTTTGTATTGTTACATGTACAATGTAACCGAAAAAGTGTGTAAGACAACACACGAATTTAATAATATATTGTTTCTACTATTGAAATTAATTTTAAAAAAAGTTACTATAAAACATTTTATTTACACACTAGTGCGTAAATTATGGTTCATTTTTCATTCCAAACCAGTTCTAAATAAAATATATTTGGGTCAGTAAACAAAACTTTTTGTTAAAATTAACTAAGGTTTCTGCATTAAACCATCTGAAGTGCTTGCTGACAAGCAAAAACAATCCAATAATATCGGTCGTCATCGTTTGTTCAATAATATAGTATTACAGAATACCAACTGGCTAAATCAGTATTTTATTGGTTATTTGAAAAACTATATTATTATATTTAAAATATGATATTTCATGAAAGAGATAAGATCCCTATACTTTTACTTTTTAATTAGGCTCTTATATGGGCGTCCGCTGCTGGTCAGTGATAGAGAACACAGAAAAATATTATGTTCCCATATTAAAAACAGGCAAAAAAATTAAGACGATAACTTCGATGTGAGATTGTGAGTTAAAAGTGCACAACAATGCAGTAAATAGATTGTAAATACAGAATATATTAGAGGTTAAAACATTTATTATTTATAAAATATTGTAACGTTTATTTATTTTAAACAGTTTATTTATACACTTATATGCTACTTTATTTTATAATTTATTATTTGTACTTAATACTTATGCTAATGCTACCCAAACAAAGCAGAGAGGGACTTAAGGTATCAGTGCATGACCATTACATTGCTCCTTTCTGGAACTTTTATGAAACTAAAACTATACTGAATGGTTTGTATCTGCAACTGGACCCTCTTTTACAATTTCCAGTTGCATGAAAGTATCAAGGGACGGTCTTCGCTAACCTGGACAATGGGCGAATGGGTGCAGTATTTGGACTTCGTTATCTTGGAAGATTACTTCCTCCCAAGTTTCGAATAATTCTTCAATCCATGGTTGTACTGGTTATACTATATATTAGGCATAGCCAGTTTCTGTACATTATACTAAAGTATGAGCTACCTCAAACTAAATAATACTTCCCATACAATAATAAATGGATCGATATCGGAAAGTGTTCTCTGTTATCAGATAGAAAAGCTAACATATTCCATTTTGAAGTTTCAAGCATGGAGGAAGGATGTTTCAAGCCTTTCCCAGGGGCCAATGACTGACCTTGAAGTTCTGGTAATCGACGAAACTTCTTCCGAAAAACGGATGCCAGACTTCGAGCATCTTAGATGCTGGCGGAAGTGTTATGGACCAGCAAGTAGTCCTTTGGAAAAGTGAGCAGGTCTTGTTATCGCTCGGTTGTAACACCATATCTGAGATAACAGGAGATGTAACTACAAACAACTATCGTTTTGTCGTGAATAAGACATATTCTAAAGAACACAGGAAGGTATTATCTGCTGTTGTCGTGCCTATTTCATTATTTCGTCTTGTTTACAAAATTATTTACATATCTTAAAAAGGCTAAAATAATTTAACCTATTTTTGCCGCGTTTGAGAATCCACATCGGATGCATCTGAGATGTAGTAAATCCGTGATCACCTGATTCAGTATACGTAAATGTAATGGGACAGATGTGTGTCCGATGTGGATAAAAAAACGCTCGAGATGTAAAAAATGCATCCGATTCCGATGTGTATTCTCAAACGCGGCATTTATTGCAACTGAACCCAAAAAATTTCAAATTATTAGTTATATCAAATTTAACTGAATTAGATGTAATAATGTTCAATAAATTCCAAAACCTAGTTAATTATAAGTTGGATATCAATTATTTTGTATTAGATGTGTGAAATAAACTATTTGACTCATGACTAAACCACAGTTTATAGCTTAAAAGAATCAGTTCGCTCACTCGGACTAATTGGATGTTCCAAAATAACATCCACTCCAGGGATACAAATTCAGGATGAGCAGAAGACTGCTGTTTGAATATAGGCGGTTGTCATATATTGTATTAGCTTAGATGTATTAGGCATTCCAAACAAATGAACTGCCAGTGGGAAGATTTGATATATCCAAGGGTTGCGACATACGATATATTCTGTTTACAATACGTAAAATCATGAATAATGGATTACATTTAAATATTTTATGTAAAACACAATAAAAATAAGATACATTTTATCATAAATTGACAGGCTTTGTGACTATTATTTCGAATAAAAAAACAAGTTCAAGATGCAAGACTATGTCTCTACCCCCTTAGATATACCAGACCGTCTCACTGACAGCTATTGTTTGACAGGTCGTTGGAATGCTTAATTGGTAATAGTAAGAGAGCCCACTGCAAATTACGACTGCCATCTGATAACAAAATGAAATATGCTCCAAAGACATGTAACAACATTGTACTTTACCAAATTTCACCTGTGCCAATCTGTAATCCAGAGCAAAGTGGTTAAAAAAAAATTATTTTATATTCAAAAAATTACATAAGACATGACAGCGATAATGGTGTTTTCTCTGAAAATTACAATCCTAATTCATTGTGAACCTAGCTTTTAAACCTGAATTATTAATATTTTTACCTAACTTTGGCAGAGATATTCAATAATAATTATAAACTCTTGTTAGACAATTCTTTTAAATCATAATCATGGTAGTTTTTTTGTCGTTTCTATGACAACCTGTAAAAATGAATCACAACAATAGGCATACAAATAAATTATTAAATCAGCAAAAATTGATTCATATTTTTAATGATTTTTACCTACTAATCGTGTGTAGATGTTTTTGTGCGATGTTAAGAGGAAGAAAATGTTTGCCGTTAACGATATATATCAAGATATATTTGAATATGTTATTATCTGGAAAACTTTAAGGGCAAACAAAATTAGCGCTGTCATGCTTTATGTGATTTTTTTAATATAAAATATTTTTTTAACACTTTGCTCAGGATTGGGATTGTCACAGGTGCCATTCGGTAAAGTACAATGTTTTTACAAGCTTTTGGGGTATATTTTATTTCATTATCAGATGGCGGTAAAAATTTACAGTGGGCTCTTGGGCTATTATGATTTGATTATGTATGCGCCAGGGATACAAATCCGAGTTGAGCAATGTATAAACTGGAACCCGAGAATACCGATCAAGGAGAAGCGACAGCTTGGTGTTTTCAGTGTACCGTTTTGTAACGCGCATGTGCGAAAATAAGTTGTGTATCACTCAAAATTATGTTATCTGTCAAAGTCAGTCCAAGTTGTGTTTAGTACGTGAGCAATGTTAAGTAATATTTTTTGGTGTTTGTTTTGTGTAGTAATAAGATGAAGATTTTTACACACTTAGGTATTCTAATATATACAGATATAAAATGTGCCAAAAAAGTTATTAGGAAACTAAGAATTTTATCACATGCATAAATATTAAGTATAATGATTTATTCATTTTTGACATTTTATTTTTCATATGTAGGTATTGTATTTTGTGAAATGTATGTTTTTCTTCTTTTAAATAAATTTAATAAACGATGAACTGCAGATTTTGTTTATTTTATTTTGAAATTATATTTAAAAAAATATAATAAATTCGCGTGTTTCAATTAGGATTGGTCAAAGTGGGCGAAATCTCTTTATTATGGCTAAATTGTAAGTTACAATTATGTCAATATAAAGATTTTTTGCCCATTCATATTTACATTTATTGAATGAATCATACTGGAGTTGATTTTAGAAATATTGGTGCATACTTAAATAAGTACTATTTCTAAAAATTCGTCTATGCACACATAGTCAAATGGACGTCCACTTTAGATCTATTTGAGGGTCAGGACGTCCATATCCGGGCATCCAGTGTACGTCCGTTTATGCTAATTAAATTGACAGCTGAATATCGATACCCAGAGAACGTCTGTTTTTGGACTTAATTTTAAGTTTAGTAGTATTTTGACGTCTAGTGGACGTCCATCTTAGGTCATTATTTATTAAGCCTACCAGATAATACCCATTTATATATACTTCTTTTTTTTTAATATAACTGGTCATTAAAAATTGACAAATTGATTCCATTGCATTTCATTCTATCAGCGGAAGTTTGAAATCTTATTCAATTATAACTGTATCTAGTAAAAAGTTTTCAAGTGGTTCCTTGGTCGAACTCGTCTAGCGATTGAAAGTGTAAAACGATAATGGATGTATCGTGAGTTCGATTCCTGCTCAGGTCAAGCGATTTTTAATAAAAAATAAATAAAGGGTATATAGCAGTTTCCGAAAATAATAAACAAATTATTAATAATATAAAATAGTTTGTGGTGAGTTGCGGTTCTGTAAAAAAAGTGGGGATGTGGTCTCAATGGAAATATAATCCTGGACGTTTTTTGAATGTCCAGTATTCGACGTCCAAATATATTCCAGAATTGACCGTCCTCTGAATGGTCAAAAGTGTGCCATTTGTATACTTCACTGGACGTCCATTGGATGTCGGAAGTCCAGAAAACTCATTTTTGGACGTCTAGACATCCAAAATTGTATATCGAATGGAGTCCAATGGACATATTTGTATTGTCTGGGTGATAGCCAGGCCAGGTATTTAACTTTAAATACATAAACCTTAAATGACATCTGGTTTAACTTGGCGAGAAAACACTTGTTTCTACAGAAATGAGCGATAAACTTGAAAGTCCTTTTAATATAATATAAATCTAGAAATTCTAAAAATATGTAAGTACTTTTTAAACCTAAAAGCTTTGAAAATATATGCATATTGCAAATATTTAGTTAAACCTCTCAAACTTAATGTCTTTTTAATTGTTACCTAAATTTTTTTTGGCACCCTTAATTTTATTTACCTTATTTTTACTTAAGGAAAAGGTAATTTAAATATGGACCTTTTATCACATTTTTAACAATAAATAAACCAAAT